ATTATATATGCAAATTATTATTTTTTTAATTTCCCTCTGATTAATGGTTTGTTTGCAAAATTAAAACCAATGCATGGATGTGTCTTGGAAAGGTGAAGAGGAAAGTTGTTATTTTCTGTGAAGCCCTTTTGAGGTTTATATATATATATATATATATATAGAGAGAGAGAGAGAGAGAGAGTTTAAAGGACTTGGTAAACACCGTCTGGCAAAGCAATTTTTAAAATTGTTGGGTAAAAAATATACTCCTGGAAATTAATTTGTATGGTTTTAGGAAATAAATTTTTTTTTTTTTTTTTTAAAGTTTTTTTATGTTTGTAATACTAAGATGAATTATTCAATTAAAAAAACATAATCCTTTTATTATCAAAATTGTAGAAGTAAATTACTGCAAATAAAATAAAATAAAATAGAATAAAAGTAAAAAAAACCAAGAATGAGAACAATTTTAACAACTTTTTTGTGATTGGTCTTCATTTGCTTATGAGTTATGACGTACATACGAGGATCATTTTGTGGTCTGAGTCCGGATTAACAATTGAAACGTGACTTTGAGTCTTGAAAAAGTCATTTTATCTAGAAGATCTTATGGACATCAATCTGTTTCTGTTTTTTCTTTTCTTTTTTTGTTTTTAATACTTCTCAAGTTTGTTTGTTATCACAAAGTGATTTATTAGCTTAAAAATCATTTTCGAAATGCTGTTGTAGAACTCTAATCAATTACAAACATTACTAATGATTTAATTGATAGAGCTTTCAATTCTCCCAACAGGTGTAACTGTATTTGAGGTACAAGGATCCTCTTTAAGTTCAATACATAATTTAATGGTTGAGATTGAATAAATAAATGGGATCCAGTAATAATGGTGGTGCAATCTTAACCAGTAAAATCTGTACTTGACCTCTCTAATGTTGGAGAGAATTCTTATTGGTATATGATTCCCTCGTTTCTCTAATTTGTTCAAATAAATAAGTAAATAAATAAAACCTAACCAATCGACTTTCACATGGGTTTCATTGGACTTCTTCTTCCCCCTACTAATCCCGGCCAGATCAGCTATAGATAAGATCAAAGTTGTAGCCGGACAATTGACATTAGATACGTACTGAAATTTCTTTCACCCTCAAGAATCCATTAAAATTTAAAGAAATATATTTCTTGCTAAATGGGACAATAAGATAAAATGGTGCTTTTGATCCTTGAACTTAGAACTTAGGGGTCGCTATCATTATCAAACAACAAGCATGACTTCGTAATGATAAAAGTGTGAAAAGAATAATGTCTTCACAACAAGTATTAAAATTATGGAAGTAAAACATAAAAGAAATATAAATTTTTTTTGTTTAAATAATATTACTAATTTACTGTCTAAACTTAATAGTTTAATGGAGAATTCTAACCAAGAATTTTTATTTATTGAAAGTGGTAAGAGTATATCTCTAAAGAAAGGTTTTAATTGTTTATTATTATTATTTTGGTCAAGCACTCTATGAATAAGTTTTAATGTAAAAAAAGTGAAATGGAAATATGCGGAGAATCGCAATGAATGCAAGGCCCATGCCTTGTTTGCCACTTTGCTAGGAAAATGAGGAGATGGAATTGATTCCATTCACTTTACTCCACCAATAAAGACAACCTAAATCAACCCTACTCAGATCTATGACAATGACTTTGCGGTCCCAAATATTAGGTCCAATTTGTGCCCCCTCTCTCACTCTCTCTAAAAGACGTGTATAGAATAGTACTATATATCTGAATTATTTTCTCAAATAAATTTCCTAGATCCTATCTCCATCAAATCCCTGTCAAAATTGTGAAGTTTGAATAGTTTCGTTTAATAGGTGTGGGTTGTTACGCTCAAGCTACGCTCAAGCTTTGAAGTACGAACACGAATACAAATATAAACACAAAATACAAATATAATATAATATAAATATAATAATGAGACAAATTTTAAAAACATAAGACACGAATACGACTAAGATATTTCAATATAATTATATATATATATAATTATATATTCAAAATATAATTACTAAAATCTTACGCATTCATTTTCCTAATAACAAACAGGTATATGTAAATACAAAAGACAAATTTTAATAATTTCATCTCTATTATAAGACAAATATAGACAAGACAAAACATAAAATAAATAAAAAATAAAATTGATTTAAATTTCAAATGAAGATATGCAGAAGAAACATAACTATAATGAGCTAAATATGTATAGAAATAAACATATATACTTTTAATCTGTCACCAAGTCTTGTTCATGTAACTTAAAAAAAAAAAAAAAAGTCTTGTTTATGTAGAAAGATAATTGAAGAAGAGGAGAGACTGAGAGATGAAGTGAGAGAAAATAAATTTTCTGTGTAATACTATGTTGTCTATAGTTGTTTTTTTTTATTTTTTCAAAATTTTACTTTTAAACTTTTTAAAATTAGTAAATTATATTCAGTACCCCATTTATCTTTAAAAAAAAAATTACAAAATATACCTCGCTGTGTCCCCCGCCATGTCCTATCTTTTAAAAAAATTACAAAATATATCCCGCCGTGTCCTGCGCGTGTCCCATAAAAAATAAGTTCTAAACACTTTACAGAAGTGTCGAACACGAGTATTGGTGTCCAAAAAGTGTCCAATAGTGGTACGGGACATCTGAGAAGAGTGTTCGTGGTTCATAACTCTCAAGTTTAAAGTCTCCTTTTTCCCTCAACTAACTACTGACCGTTAAAAATAATAATAATAATAATAATAATTTTGTATAGTAAAAAGAGTGAAAAAAATTAACTCTCAACTTTTGCTCTATTATATTGCATTTGGCATTTTCTTAAATAGTACGTGTGCATATATATAATGACATATTCATCTTTAAAAATCCTTAAAACTCTAAAATATTTATAAAAAAAAAAATAAAAAAATTGCCTTCAATTTTAAGAGATAATTATGTGATTTACTAAAAGAGTTGGATATAATAATGGAGAACAAATATTTTGTTTATATTTTGTAATTTTAAGTGATAATTATGTGGTGACCTGAGATCTTTCTTCCTTGTTTTTGAGAAGTCAAAATAGGTTGTTCTTCCTCTTGTGTTTCAGATCCTCGCCGTCACAGATCCTTGTCGTCGCCTCATAGCCTCGCCGTCATAAATCCTCACCGTCGCAATCTCACAGCCTCGCCGTCGCCGTCTCACAGCCTCACCGTCTCAAACCCACCACCACAACCCGTCGCCGTCACTGATACCCATCACCACAACCCGTCGCCGTCACAGATCCTCGCCGCCACCACCACCGACTAAACCAGATAAAGGGCTTGATACTTGATATATATATATATATATATATATATATATATCTTTTAAATATAATATCTAATTATATAGACAAAGGGTATTTTATAAATTTTAATAAAAATAGTAGCTGACGTTATCAATTTTGGCCGTTAACTCTAATAAAGAGGAAGTCAAATTAGGAGAGGTCGAGTAATTTCAGAAACAATAAGGGTGATTCCTGTAATTAGGGCAAATCACATGAGAGATTTGTGTAAATTACCCTTTTGTATAATAGGTATTGCTCTCTATTCTCAAAAGATGTGTATGGAACTAAATTATATAATTTTAAATTTTTTTCAATATGTATCGCTCTCACGCTTCGAGTGCGCTCTTGTTTTCACGTTCCTTACGCGTTCTCGCTCTAAAATTCTCACTATTTGAAACATAATTTTGTCGCTCTTACGTTCCCGCTCTCGAATTCGCTCTTGCTTTATACACTTACTCAAATTCTCACTATTTATGACATAATTTTGTCGCTCTCACATTCCCACTCTCAAATTTGTTTTCTCTCCTACTTTATGTGACTTAGGTATAAAATAGTACTATATATCTAAATTATTTTCTCAAATTAATTTCCTAGATCCTATCTCCATCAATTATTTGACAAAATTGTGAAGTTTGAATAGTTTTGTATAATTAGTGTGGCGGTGTTATTCGAATGGTAAAAAGATTAGGTTTAAAGTTTTTCATTTTAGGTTAGATTCCTTTCTCCCTAACTAATTACTGACCATTGTCAGGAGAAAAAAAAAAATTGTATAATAAAAAGAGTAAAAAAAAATTAACTCTCAACTTTTGCTCTATTATATTGCATTTGGCATTTTCTTAAATAGTACGTGTGCATATATATAATGACATATTCATCTTTAAAACTCCTTAAAGCTCTAAAATATTTATAAAAAAAAAAAAATTGCCTTCAATTTTAAGTGATAATTATGTGATTTACTAAAAGAGTTGGATATAATAACGGAGAACAAATATTTTGTTTATATTTTGTAAATATACTTGCATGTTATTTTTAGAAAAATAACATAATTACTCTTTAAAAGTGAAGTTAGTTTTGAACAGGGGTGGGACTTGGGTGGATTGGAGGGACTTGGGTGGATTGGACGGGTAAATGTTACCCCATGGCAAATCAAAAGTTGTAAAACCTTTTTTTATTAGAATTTGGAAGGAACTTAATAATTTTTTTTTTTATTAGAATTTGGAAGGAACTTAAATTTTATCTTTTTTATTATTTTATTTCCTTAACTAAATATATTAAATATTTAAAGCAAGTGTGTTTAAGTTAGGTGACTATTTTACTATAAATATTAAATTATCTATGTAACGTATAACATTACATATATAAAAATTTTAAATCCAGTTGCATTTCATGATTCATATTCCATTCCTTGCCGTAAAATTTTCCGACCGGACTCAGGTGACAAGTCCCAGCTCTAGGTTTGAGTCAATAATCGAGTGTAAGATTGTTTTTGTACAAAGTTTTTAAAAAATACATTTATATAAAAAATAAAAATAGAAGCAATATCATATTTAAAGGCATATTTGGCTATTATATAATAATCCCTATATTTTATACATCACCGGATAGGATTCTATTGGTTCGAGGAATCTCATTTCCCACCGCACAAACATCGCCTCATATTAATAATCCAAAAATACTAAATAAATGCTCTGAGCCTTCGCATCTCCTCCACCTTTCCCTCCCCTTTATAAATGAAAACCAGAACCAGACCCAAAACCAAACCCTAGTCTCCCTCTCTCTCTCTCTATAAATATATATATATACACACACACACATTCTTAGATAACGTGTTCGTCTTCTATGGCACCCCAATTTCTATAGCAAAAATTTTCATTTTCTCTAAAAGCGACGGTTCAGATTAGGTTTATTCTCCACCATTCGTTTCATAAAAGCCCCTTACATTTTTGGTTTTTCTTCTTCAGTTATCAAAACCCAAGTAGTATTTCTTTGGGTCTGTTCTAAATCTAAAACAAGCTTTGAAGAGAGAGAGAGAGAGAGAGCTTACTGAATCTTAGATACTGTATTGATTTTTTCTTGATTCGCTCAATTTCCGTCGTTGATTATGGCTCTAGCTTACCCTCATTTTATTGGGTCTGACAAATCAACCGTCGATGCGGCTCTTATGGTAACCGCATCGTCCCCATCTCGGCCGCCTGTGATTCTAACCCAGGACGAGCTGAAGAAAATCGCCGCCTACAAGGCCGTCGAGTTCGTCGAGTCCGGTATGGTTTTGGGCTTAGGAACCGGGTCGACGGCGAGGCATGCCGTCGACCGAATCGGCGAGCTTCTGCGGCAAGGCAAGCTGAAGAACATAATCGGAATACCCACATCGAAGATGACCCACGAACAAGCCCTGTCGTTGGGAATTCCGTTATCGGACCTCGATTCGCACCCAATCATCGATCTGGCCATCGACGGCGCAGATGAGGTCGACCCGCATTTGAATTTGGTGAAGGGGCGAGGCGGGTCGCTGCTGAGGGAGAAGATGGTGGAGGGTGCTTGCAAGAAATTTGTGGTGATTGTTGATGAGACAAAGATGGTGAAGCATTTGGGGGGCAGTGGGCTTGCTTTGCCGGTCGAGATTGTGCCGTTTTGTTGGAATTTCACGGCACAGAGGCTTCAATTGTTGTTTTCGGAGTCAGGTTGTGTTGCCAAGCTCAGGAATTGCACCAAAAATGGTGAGCCTTTTGTTACTGATAATGGGAATTATATTATTGATTTGTATTTCAAGCAAGACATTGGGGATTTGAATGCTGCAAGTGATGCCATTTTGCGACTTGCCGGTGTCGTGGAGCATGGAATGTTTATTGACATGGCCACCACAGTGATTATTGCAGGCGAGCTCGGTGTCACCGTGAAGAATAAGTAGAAGAGGTAGATCTGCTGATTGTTGTTTTAGCAAGGCTCTAACTTATTTTATGTAGGCTTAGTAAAATTATTGGTTTGCAATAGAATTGGGGAAGCTTTTATTGATTAGTATTGTAGTAGGGAAAAGATTTTGGTCTCCTAGCATTAGCTGATATGATTGTTTGGAAATTCCCCTTGAAGTTTTGATACGTATTGAGACCAGAATTAGTGAAAATCAATATAAAGTTTGCATTTTGCTATGAAAAATGCCTTCTCTTTTAACTATTTTGCTTTTGAACTCAGTACGATATCCTTAAGTTTGTACCTGTGAGTGAGCACATAATTAGTGCCAATTCTATGGGATCTTTCTCTTAGTTGATATTCCTTATTTAGCTTAGATTGCATTTGGGAAAACACAAGTAGAAAATTCTTTTGTTTTTTTTTTTAACATGAAGGCCGCCCCGCTCGCATTGAAGGATCAAGCTTGGATTTTGGTGTGATTGTAATATCTTCAATCATAGGATGCCTCAGCTTTTGATTTTAGTATATGCTATTGACAGTTGTACTCCTTCCATGCTAGCACTGAATGCACTTCTGTTTAAAAATCCCATGCAGAAGCCCTTATGTAAAGCTCCTCAATTTACTTTAAAGACATTTGATGGTTTGTGTAACTTTCCTATGATTCCTCTTAATTAAGAACAGTTGGTAGATGTTGCTACATGTGATCCAGGCAAGCTTTATGAAGCTTCAAGAGGTTGTAATTTGCTGTAGACAATTTATTTCTAAGTTATTTTGAAATTACGTTTGTGGTTGCACTAGCTCTTTTCGTTTAATGGAATTACAGGTTTGCGATTGCATGGAGATGAGTTTTTGTAGCATCTGAAATAGAGTTTGGTGAGGGCAGCCCACCTAAGGGCTAATGTCATGGTTTATGTTGTGGGCAACTCAGAGAAAGCATTAGCTATGGCTCACAAGGGGCGGGGATTAGTGATCTAATAGCTTCTTCTTGTTGTTGTTGTTGTGAGTGACTCTGTAGACTGTAGTTGCAGCCAAAGTCTGAAGCCCTCTGAATAGTTCTTGCTGTTGTTTGGGAATGAAGGCGGTGGTGCAGTTAGGGTGAATGGTCAGTAGACCGTGAATTAGAGTCTAAGGCCCTGCTTGGATTAGAACTATAAAAACAGTTTTCTGTTTTCATAGTGATAAAAAACTGAAAACTGCAAAATAGTTCTGCTTGGATTTGTTTTGACAAAACAGTTTTTTAAAAACTGAGTTCTCATAGTATCAATTTTCAGGGAACAACTTTTTGTTATTTTGGAAAATTTTGAGAACACGGAGATGATAAAAAGGAAAACACACGCAACCCCAATCTCGTTTTAAGCTCTACGCGCAAGCCCTTTTGACATTCTCTTTCTTTCCTAAATGCTCTCTCTCAGATTTCTTCGCCTCTCTCTTCAAGTTCTCTGTCAGTTTTTGAATAAGAAGGTCGATCTGTGCTCTTTGTCAGATTTATGAATTTTTTGTGGTTGTTCACAGTTCCGATTTGGGTTGAGGGTTGATTATTTGCTTTGGTGGGATTGGATTTGGTTGTGTTGGATGTGGTTGTTCAAAGTTCTAATTTTCTGTGCTTTGGTTGAGGGTTGATAATATTTTTTATTTTATTTTTCGAAAACCCGAGGTATTTGAGGCTTTGCCCCGACTAATCCCCGAGGACCTGTGCAAGGCGACTCCCCCCGCGGACCGGGTAAAACTCAAACTATGTCCGCGGTCGTGGCCCCAAGGAATTGCTTACACTTAAGGGGAATCGAACTTAAGACCTGAAGCTTAATGAGGCTCCAAGTCCCAAGCCTCTTCCACTAGGCCAACCCTGTGGGGTTAGGGTTGATAATTTGCCCTGTTCGATTTGGTTGTGTTGGTTTGAAGGTTATTTGATTTGGTTGTTCGCACTTCCCATTTAGCTTGGTTGTGTAAGATTTTCGTATGATTTCATGGACAATAACAGCTAGGTTATCTTTTGGTTTTGTTAGAATGGAAGGTAACTGAATTTAATTTTCTTTTCCTTTGTAGAAAGGTCAAAGATTTGTGCATTTTTGGTGGAAAAAGAAAGGAAGGTAACTGAATTTAGTTTTCTTTTCCTTTGTAGAAAGGTCAAAGATTTGTGCATTTCTTTGTGGAAAAAGAAAGGAACTGCTATTATATATTATTGTGGATATCAATTGGTATTTAATTTAGGCAAAGGATAATGGAAAGGTGCATCTTACTTTAATCATTTTCAAAGTATGTTCTTCGCAACATCTAATTATTTTTTCACAGCAAAATGCTTAAATAATTTGATGGTGTTAATTGCCTTGCCTTGGAATAATCTGATGGTGTTAATTGCCTTAAAATAATCTAATTGATTAAATTGGAATTTTCTAAGCACATAGTCAAAGTAAGGGATTGTCCCTGGTATTGATTTTTAGTTCATGGTAATTCTAAGCACATAGCCATAGATGTTATAACTAGATGTTATAACTAGAGATCTTGAAACTGGGGGATGACAACAAAGAATTGGTTAGTGTCCTCTTTGAATGCTTGTATTAAATTGAATAAGATTCAATCATATTGATTAAATACAGTATTGCTCTTATTCTTTTTGTCATTACAGTCATTCACAATCCACTCATTATGCATTCACAATTTAGCATTTACAATTTTACATTATGTCTTGTTTTCTTTATATTTGGACAGATTATTGGGTTTTATTCTTGAACTTTATTTGTCTATCTAATTTTCTGACAGTTCTTTTTTTCTTAATTAAAAAAGATAAATTGAATCTTTTTATCAGTGTGTGATTGCACAGTTGGTAAGACAGTGTGGAAGATGAGTCCTTTGAAGATATGATATTGGTAATTCAATAGTACTAAATGGGATCCCCAATTATTCTTTTATTGAGATCTTTAAAATTTTGATAATTTAAGGAAGCTGTGGTTATAAATCCATTCCTCAAAATCTTCTTTACAACCTAGTGCTGATGGTTGGTCTCTAGTCTTCAGTTGCTGATGGTTGGTTTAAATTGAATATTGATGTTGTTCTTCTCATTGGTGTTAGAAGTGTCTCTGCTTTGTCTACAACATGGTGTAAACTTCCAACTTAAATGGATTTCTAAAGCTCACAATACAGTGGAACATAAGTCAAGTCAATGGGCTCCTGTGATTCTGATATTGATGAACGGCCTTCATGGCTTGTAAATTTGTAATTGCAATTAACTGTGATTGTATGCCTTCTGATTTTGAATAATAATATTATTAGTATTGATTTGTGGTGAAAAAAATAATAATAAAAAAGAAATTCTGTGAAGATTTTTCTGTCTTCTTTTCAACTAGATCTAATCTTATGTCTCATTAAAATTTTCTTGTAGTCCTTATGGATTTGTGAAGAATAACATAATAATATTTACATAGTGCAATCCTCAATTTGGCTATGCTATCAAAATTTTCTTCTTGGTTGTAAAACTATGCGAAAATTTTCTTCTTGTCTCTATAGTCTTTTTTCATTTTTAGAGCAATTTTTGTTAATTTAAAAATATTTAAGAGTAAACCACATCTAATATTTATAATAAATTTAAGAAAAAAATAAATGAGTGATATGCAATATTCTTTATTTTCAGAAAACTATTTTCAACCAAGCAGTTTTATGAGTTTTTGTTTTCTGAAAACTGTTTTGTAATTATTCTAGAGCTGTAAAGGACTTGATTTTTAGTGTTCTTGGTGAGTTTGCATATGCGGTGGTGTGGAGACTTCTGTTTAGACCTTCAAAAATTGTGTAATTAAGCCACACAAACAGGAGATAACAATTTAAAGTCAAGTGTTACACACATGGATTGATCTCTCAACTTACTTTGAGATGCTGTCCAAATCTCTCCACTTCTTGTTCTCCAAGAGTTTCACAGAGTTCAGGGCTTTCATTCAAGAGCTTCTTATTCTCGAAAGTTAGATCAGGTTGCATTAGCCCTGCTGCTCAGCACAAGGACCAATCATTATTGGCAATTGAATTCTTGCAACAGAACAACCACCACCGGCCGGGTAGTCATCTTCTTTGCTTTTTAAAGTAGAAGGTCGAAATATATGACCCGCACCATTGCCATGAAATAACGAGAAATAGTTCGAAAGTTGTATCTCACTGTTTTATGCTAGTAAATAATGATGTCATCATGATGTCATTGACAATTTTATGTGAATGAATGATGAAGTCATCATCACGTTATTAAATTGTCCTTGTCACAACTCTTGCCATGGAACAAAGGAGGTTATTGTAAGTGAGAACTTTAGCTTTGGGTACCTGATTAACAACTTGAAGCCCACAACAAGATTTTGGGCCATGATTTTCAGCTGAATCAGAACTGGGCCTTGAACACCATGGCCAAACCTTTTGAGGCTTAGTTTTCACACGTGACTTCTTACTTCATTTCATAATATTTTGACGTACCTGAATTTTTTTCCTTTCAAAACATCGTCAAACTAATGCACATGTAACACATTACTTCACATGCAATACTATTATTTAACAATCGATGATGAACTTATTTAAATAACGAGACTGCTACAATTGGGAACTCTCCCGAAACGAGCAATCTCGCTTTGATTTTTCTGATTTTATTTTATGCTTTAAAGATCTCAACCACATTAACTTTTCTTAGTGCAGTGTATTTATGTTGTTTGGTCAATGGACCACTCATTTTGAGTTCAAGAAGAATCAACCCAAATGGAAAATGTAAGGTGGTGGTTGTACGAGTTTCAAAGACTGTGATATACGTTATTATGCACCAAATATTTCGTTCAGATTTGAAGTTAGAAAGTGATGATAAGATAAACCCATTTTCTACTCCTATTCCTTTTTTCTTTTTTCTGTCTTTTCTTTTATGGAAATCTGATAAACATATCTTTCTTAACCCTTTTCCCTTGTAGTCAAAAGCTAAAAAGGTATCCAATCAATTTCATCCATTAATGGATTTTTTTCCTTTTAATTGGATGAACAGATATTTTTCTCAGTGCTTATATGCCATCATGAACAATTTTTTTAATTGGATTGAAGATTTGGAGGTGGAATAATGATATATCTACCGAATTTGGAGATCTCGTCCAATAATATTAGAGTGATAATCATGCGGTGAAGTTCGCACACTCTTACTTATCCTTGTTCGGCATCTTTAGAATTATGTATCATTTCTATTGTAATTTGGTTGCACATTTAAAAATTCTGTAGCTTCGTGTTGATTTGGACCAATGTAA